TCCCCCTTCAGGGTAGTAAAATGGTTTGGTGGACCCCTATTCACCCTCCGGAAATTTTCGGGGATAAACCTTTCCTAATCCTGGATGAAATGGACCGTGTTTAACAGAAAGGAACCAAGCCACGCCAGCTATTGCCAAATTTAACTGGGTGATTTAATTTTTTCCGAGAGAACGTTTGTGTGGATTCCTTTGGAAATTTGAAGAAATTTGCTGCGTACTCGGGAGAAAATCCGCTGAAATTTGCGCTAAAATCCGCACAACCGATTTCGTGCAAAAAAATTAATTGCCCGATTTTTGGCGATAGCTGATGTGGCTTGGTTCCTTTCTGTTTAACGCGGTCCAAATACCAGTAAAGATAGGTCTCAGGTTTTTTTATCGACATTTTTTTCAATTTTTTATTTATTTTCCGACTGGAAATGACTCAGTTTTGAGTCGAAATGTTTCCGGTGTTTTATTGTTATTTTTCAGCCTTGTTTTCCGTTTTTCCCTCCTCGTTTTTCTCCGGTTAAAAAACCTAGAATCGGGAATTTTTTCCTCGAAATTCGGATGCGTCGTGTGGCACCAGCAGTACAAAGTTACAAAATGGAGCGATTTGCGGAAATGTTATTGGTAATAATTTGCGGGACTGATACCTGTCATGCCTTTGAGGAAATGTTTTTGTTGGAAAATTTGCACCATTTTGCAACGCTGCCGTGATGCAACACGGCTCCGATGATTTCATCGTACACGTGAGTGAGAATACAACGTAGGAAACCTTTGAGAACTGACAAGCGCAGCCATACGTTGTGGCTAAGAAAAGCAAAACGCCTGCAATTCTTTGTGTATGCAACGCGGACATCCTGAGATCACGAATAGTTGCATCCAGCCCTAGCCATTGAAAAGAACGGGGCGCCTTCCCTTCGATGTTTTCCACTTGTGATAACGAGAAGTGTCACTCGTGGAAAATGGCTGAGAAAAATTCTAAAATTCAAAGCAGGCCAAATGAAGATAAAAACTTACGAAACAAGAGCCGGCTGATCTTCAGGCTGTTGATTTTCTTCTTCCGTTTTGGCTTCTGACTCTGTATTTTTTGACTCGTCAAAACTGGAGTAAATTTTCGTCTTCTGAGGAGAGAAATAGAAACAACGTATTTAATGAAATGGCAACGGCCTTGATTTATTCTATGCAATTAAAAATACTAGAACCTAATTAACATTAAATCTGACATTTTTAAGGAGAAAAAGGACAGTTGACGACTTCCAGAGTGCAACGCCTCCTGCACGTATACAAAATCTTTCTCATTTCTATAAAAAAGCGAGGAATTTCAAAAGCTCAAATCTGATCGATCGATCAATTAAATTGTGTACAAAGGCTATCCCACGATGACCTGGACTGGTGCTGAAACTCAAAACCTAATCAACGGATTGAGATGACCTTGAGCTCATTTGAAAGATTAAGTCAAAAGAAAGCGATTGCGTTAAAGATCACTTTATTTTGATAAAAAATGACCAAGTTATGACACTTTAAAAACAGATTGTAAGAAAACACCCTACCGTTTTTTAAATACAAAATTATTTTCAACAAATTCAAAGTTCAATCTTCGTTTTTGCTTTCTTCTGAGTCTTCAAGTACTTCTCTCTCTTCCTCAAAGTATTTGCCTTCAAATCGAATACATTAATCCATCCTCTCCTTCCTGTTTTTCAACATTGTCTTCTGGAAATTGCTTGCTCTCTGATTTAAAAAATCAATTTTCATTTGCTGCCAAGTTGTTGGCGTTGGGGAAAGATCATCGGAAAAGTTTGACGAGTAAAACGAAAAGAAACAAGTTGAAAAAAAAACGGAAGGGTATTTTCTGACAACCTGTTTTTAAAGTATCATAACTTGGTCAAGTTTCATCCAAATTAAGTGATCTTTAACGCAATCCCTTCCTTTTGGCTTAATCTTTCGAAATCAGCTCAATCCGTTGATTAGTTTTTGATTTCCAGCACCAGTCCAGGTCATTATAGGACAGCCCTTGTATAATCATATCATATAAAATAAATTATATATAATAAAAAAATCATCGAAATAAGGATGCACCACTTCATCCACGACAAAAA